CAAAAGTTTATCTTCCGGATATGAGTCTATTATGCGGATCAAGAGAGAGAAATCCATATAGTAATGTCAGGTAAGTATTATTTATTCATAAAACTCTAATTTGTAAAACAAATTTTCCAATTTGCTAGTAAACGTGTTCTAAAGTAAATATAAGAATATAAGTAGTTTTGTTTTCTTTTTTCTTCTGGATTGTATTTGCTATAATTATTATTATTATTATTATTATTATTATTATTATTATTATTATTATTATTATTATTTTATTATTATCATTATTATCATTTGCAGCTGTATTACTACCAAATGTAAATTCAATCAATATCTAAAACAAATACAAAACGTAATGAAAAATATATACCCTGTTATCTGTACATCCCATCGTGTATGTCACATTCTGTTGTCCATTTCTTGTGGATGTTGCAAAACATGACTTTAAAAAGGTAAGGAATTTCATAAAATACATTGATTTGACATTGAACCGACTGAATTTGTCTCATGGATTTGCCTTATTTTAAATTTGTAATTATCCGTTTGAATGTTATGGGATCTTAATATCAACATACAATATTGGAGCTTTAATTATTGGTGGCAAAGATCTCCTACTCTAGTTTCCTGAAGTTTATGAGTTGGTATTTATGAGTTTGAAAATCTTGTTTGCTCTGTCAATCTATGTATCGATCATTTATAGTGCAAAATGCAAATCAAGCCGACACTGAAAACATTTTCATGTATTAGTTACTTTGGTTTACGTTTTCTTCCTCTTTATGTTTTCATTTGGCCTCCTTTGTGTTTATGTTCATTTTTTATTATCAGTTGTAGCATCAGCAAGACTGAAAGATTGTTTGATAAAAACAACAAAGTACCGACATTCAGCAATTTTAAACACGCAGACATTACCAAAAGTCGTGTAAAGACAGGAGTAAACAAATAACAATGAATAAGGATAGGTACCTGGCCGTCCTTGCATTTTGTAATGGTATCGCAGCTCGCAATATTAGTTATACCATTGCACGAATAGCAGGACAATACCTCTGAAATACAATATCAATGTGGCCATACCACGTGGCTTTTCGGGTACGGAACACGCCGATTTTTCACCCGATTCAGGTATGTTTTTTATTCACAACTTATTTATTACTTAACCGATTTTGATGAGATTAGGCGCAGAGTACCCGTAATTATATCAGTTATCCACGGTATATCAAAATTCTGAAAACCCCTGAATGGTTTTTGAGAACATTCGAGTACAGTTTTCTTTTCATAGCCTGGGCCGAGGGGAACGGTACACACTCATTTGTCATAACAGGCGATTTCTAGCAAGTCATATGTTTTTTGACACTATTTCATAGAAAAATACATGTTAAATGTGATATATTTACTATGTCCAATGTATCGAGTAAATGCAGTTATGTTTTATCATATTTTCATAAAGTTATGTTGAAATGGTACGGAACACACTGTTGTTTAAAAAGATACGGTACACACACAATTTCTGTCTTTGAAACAATTCTAAAATAAAATATATAAAAAAATTAATTTAAATTATAATGTGAGTGATTTTTTTCATAGTTATACATTTTATTAATTTAAACGAGAACCCTGGGACCTGTTTTGCAAAGTATCATTATGCCTACAGTTTGATGTAAACAAGATTATTCAAAAAATAAAAGAACATTTTGAGAGTACGTTGCGCAAAATTCGATTTTATATGTTGAGCAATTAATTCTTGGCTATAAAATGATAAAATTTTAGGGAGGGATACGGAAGACATTCAAAATTTTGTTTTGTTTTGATTTTCATTTGAAACAATTAGGTATATTCTTTTGGATTATAAAACGAATTGTGAAATTCATGGACATCTGTTATGTGCGATTATTATTTCATTTAATTTCTTTGTTCGAATATATAAATGACTGTCTAAACGTAGTATGGATATATAAACAAACAAGAAGTTAGGAATAAGTTGGAAATATATGTTCCTTGCAAAATTTTGTTTAAATAATCGAATTTGGAGAAAAAACGCTGGTTTTGATGTAAGTGGATTTTTTTAAATCACGGAAAGTTTAAAGTTTTTTTCGATCACATGATATTTGGTATGAATCATCTGCCAGTGTCCCAAACTAACTGCATGTATCTAAATTATCAAATTATCTACATATGGACAAATATATTGGACATTTCAAGATGCATTTAACACTTGAGTTCATGGATATGTGTGCTTGCGTGTTTGTGTTAAAAATAAAATGATAATTTAATAATACCCATTTTTGTCAATCATGGATTTTTGAGGCTGCGTTCTGTTTTATATACTACATGAAGTAGGTACGAGACCACAAGTGACTTCGATGTTTCGATTTTTTATGTGAGAAAGTTTTCTTACTACCGTATAGAATGTCGGTTGTTTTACTCAGGTGTCCGTTCGTTCCTTTATTTATACCCAAAGGGCACTTGTAAAACTCGAAAGTCGCCACATGATAATGTCAGTTTTTATGAGCCGTGAAACCAAACCAAAAATGACCTATTAACATAAATTAAAAGTTATTTTTATAGCTTCATGCCTTATAAAACATTAAAAGTTTAAGCAATGGCGACTACATTTTTATTTGTTTGGGTCGTCAGACCAAACAAATAATGGTAGCAAAATTTCAGGCTCTGATATGCTTATTTGCAAAATAAGAAAGTAGTCCGAACCCCTGGAAGCGGTTACTTACCTTTATATGTACTCTAACGCTGAAAAAATAAGGGGGATCACTGTGTTAAGATTGTCAAATGACGGGCGCATTAATTTTCAAGCCTTCTCGGGAGAAGAAAAAGTAGTTCCCGATTGGTCAAAGATTTCAAATATTGTGTAATTCTTTACAGATATACATGTAATATTAAGCTCCATGATTATTTACATCAGTGTCAAACGAAATTAATAAGGGTAACAAACCCTTATTTAGAATGATAAGGTTTTTTTCAGGCTGTTATCTTATAACTTCCCCGTGGTCGAGGGGTTACACGCTCGTTTAGGAAGAGGGATGTCCTGAGTTCAAATCCAAGTTAAGGCAACACATGTTTTTTGTTGTTTTTTTTTTAATTGTTTAAGCCAAATAAACAATGAATTACATATCAGTGTTGCAATAAGCCTTATAGCCAATTTACTACAGTTATGACATTAGAAACAACATTGGTGGCACTATACAAAAACAAACTGGTTTACAATCTCACAGCCTTCACCTTTCTGACATTCTGAGACCCAAAAAAATCAGCGCCTTCTTGATTTGATTTAATTAAAAGTGACCATGATATTGCAAGATTGTACCTAATGACTTGCTTATTATTAACAAAATATAAATATCTATAAATTGTTATCAAGTAATGATACTTTTCAGCGATTTAGGTCATGACCTTGTTTTATTTTTCAGGATGTTTTTTATAGCAAAAAGACATATCTTACTTCACTTAAACTAAAAGAAATAAAAAACAACAAATAAACAGCAATAAACAACAATAAACACAGCATTATATAACAACATTTTCTTTCTATAGAGCGCAACTACCTGATTAGTGTGAAGATCGAAGTGTTTAACATACCCTAGGTGATTTTAAATAGGACAATTACATGGAGGTTGTAAATGTTTAAGTGTGATCTCTTGAAATATAGTGCACAAATAGATATAAACATTAAAAGTAAGCATTATGATACATTGCAAAAACAGGTCCCTGGGTTCTCGTTTAAATTAATAAAATGTTTAACTATGAAAATAATCACTCACATTATAATTGAAATTAAATTTATTATATATTTTTTTTAGAATAATTACAAAGACAGAAATTGTGTGTGTACCGTATCTTTTGAAAAAACAGTGTGTTCCGTACCATTTTTCAACATAACTTTATGAAAATATGCTAAAACATCACTGCATTCACTCGATACATTGGACATAGTAAATATATCAGATTTAACATGTATTTTTCTATGAAATAGTGTCAAAAAACATATGACTTGCTAGAAATTGCTTGTTATGACAAATGAGTGTGTACCGTTCCCCTCGGCCCAGGCTATGAAAAGAAATCTGTACTCGAATGTTCTCATAAACCATTAAGGGGTTTTCAGAATTATGATATACCGTGGATAGCTGATATAATTACGGGTACTCTGCGCCTTATCTCATCAAAATCGGTTGAGTAATAAATAAGTTGTGAATAAAAAACATACCTGAATCGGGTGAAAAATCGGCGTGTTCCGTACCCGAAAAGTCACGTGGTATGGCCACATTGAATATTAACATTTGAACCTTTTAATACCCTAATGATGCAAGCATATCATTTCAACGGTTTTGGTGTTTTGATATGAATCGTTTTAATTTGTTATTTCTGAAATGTCAAGTGTGCAAAAGCTACACTGCTTTATAAAATCATTGTCATTATAATCAGTACTCCTCAAATACCAGTAAGAAAGAAACGCGTTTGTATATTTCCTGAACAGCGAATGGTGCTTGTAGTTAATCTTTACTTCAAGGTAATAATCCTGCTTAAAATATCAGCATAAATGTTGAATATAGTTTTGTTAACGTATCATATCGATGTGTGTTAATTACCAATACAGTCTATTTTACAGCTCGTAACCATTAAAGTTTGGTAACCAAATAATTTGCTGTTTATAAATTGTATAGCTTTATATACTTTAAAAGGATTTTTATCAGTGAATATTATTGACCAATCGCAAAAGATTTATTCTCATCAAAATCTTTTAAGCTGTCTTACTAATGCAACGTTTCCCTTTTTGTATTATTTGTTCTTTTCTTAAACGAATTCAACATATTTGCTCCGAAAGAAATGTTGAAAAACATATTTCTTTAAGATTACTCGTTTACATATATAAATTCGGACAATTTTTTTCCTAATACATTTGATAGATATTACATTACTTTACTCGTACTTCTTGATCATTAAACTGTAGTATTTAGATATTGTAAATTTACTAATCTCTAAAATAGAATTAAAACTACACAGACCTGCGTATACGAGATGTACAGCAAAGACAAGCAAGCATATTACTGAAATAGAAATCATTCTTTATTTACATAGACTTCGACATGTAAACATATAGTTGAAGTACGTGTGTTGTTTCACAAAGAATTCGACGGCTACTTTCCAAAATATGCTTTAAATGTTTCCAGTTTGCAATAATCTTTTCTTTGTGATACATTTAAATGTTACTGGCCTAATTTTATAATATCAAAATTAATATATATTCAAACAAGCATGTTAAAGAATACCTTTTAACATCATTCTGTAAGATTGCTCCTAAATGTTAAAAAAGTGTCACTGTTACGCCAGACCTGAAAAAAGAAGGTCAAAAAATATTGATAAAATTCATTGATTTGAAGAATTGAAAACAAATTTACATCATGTTTATTATTATCCTTCTTGAAAAATTTTATTGATAGAATGCTATAAAAGAACGTTTTTAAAACACAGATTTTCCAATATTTCATTCTAGAGGGAAACATATCCTGACGTAGATGCATGCTTCTGAACAATTATTGCAAATATCCATTTATTCTGCTTACTAAATGTGGAACCAAAATATTTTTTTTAAAAACTTGGACAATTGTGTGAGTAAACAATATATTCTAATAAATAGTTATTTTTTGATCTCATTAAAGTACGTAACAAAACAAAAATGTTAAATAAAAGTGTTTTTTAAACAATTTATACTAGTTTACAAATGAAAATTACAACAAGTGCATCAAAAGAGGAGAAAAGAATACGTAAGACCCAAAATATGTTGCTCGTACTCGTATATGCATTGTCATGATTGAGTCTTTTCTATAATTTGAGTATAATTATGTAGTTAATATTTATGTCAAAGAAGTTCGATTCCTTGTGTGGATGTTTTGGGAAATGCAGAATATAAATTTCGTTAAATTTTTATACGTTAATTTCAGTTAGCGCTTTCAATATATATCTAGGTATATGTATATGTATGATAAATTTGAAAATACAAACAAACATTAATTGTACATTTAAATATATACAAAGATTTTTCTCAATTACACGTGTGCGCTTTTAATGGTATATAGAAACACATTACCTTGTTGACAAATCCAAGTCAACTTTTGTATTAATTTTCCCCATCGTCTATTTATCTTTATGTTTTAGGCAGTATAAAAATATTTGTTTGTTTAAGTCTTGAATACACTGTAGGCTTTACTGTAACCAGTACATGTCATTGCATTATGTTAAAGTAATGGTTCATGCTAGAAACAAATATTGATCAAAATTGTTTTATTCGTTTTGTGGTTTACATTGCAAACATAATTTACTTAATGAATATATATATAATAATAAAAGTAAAGAAAAGCATGATGTCCGAAGGATTATAATCATGTATGAATTAAGTGTACCTATCACGAAAAGAGAAATGTGTAAGCTATTAGATGCGTGTTATACTTTTGATGATAATATTCATAACTACAAAAGTTGTTGTGTTAAGAAATGAATTGTTTCAGATGCATTTAAGGTAATATATATTAAGTATAATGGTCATATAAGAAACATCTGACGAGGTTGTTATTCATTATTGAAACGGCTTGAAATATATAAGATACTGCGTATAAAAGTAGAAAATGAAGATCAGAAATGGACAACAACGTACATGACACCGCTCCACCCACTGTGCCCCATTCCCGATCCTTAATATTAAGCAACATTCTCATCTGTATACAGTAATATTTTATTTCATTCCTTGTAAATATAAAAGTATCAAAATGAATATGTGACATTAAAATCAATTATTATTTATTTTTTAAATTAAATACATTTGTAGATGCTAAAAACACCAAAACATGTTAATTATATTTGCTTTCGAACTCACTTTGAAATGTCAAAAACAATTAATTTGTAATATTGCCTTATTTTAAAGTCGTTTAAAGATTTTGATAACCATGATTACACCTTACGCACAAAGAGTTTCACTAATAATAGGATTATCTTGTTTATGGTATTGTTGTAAAGCATGTACTAAACGCCTTCTTGTTACAATTGGTCACGGAAAATTGTTTCACTTAAAACAAAGAAAAATTCTTATCTGTTATAACTTTTCTTTCAACACGTCCTTAACGTTAGATTTGACACACTGAGGATGGAATATTAAATTTTGTGAGACATGCACAAACATCATTTGAGCCGCGTCACGACAAAACCAACGTTATGGCTGTTCGCTTACTGACCCTATTACAAGTAGAGAAACTGATAGCGAACAGCATGGATCTTGATCAGACTGCGCGGATGCGCAGGCTGGTCTGGATCCATGCTGGTCGCAAACGCATAAAGTTGGTTTTGTCGTGACTCGGTTCATTTTACTTAACACAAAGAAAACAAAACTTACATGTCAGTGATATAATCATATATACTCTTCTCTATAAAAACTTCCTTATAGCGTAGTTAAAGATTTTGACACATTGATATTTGTGGGACACGTGTTACGAAAAAAAGTTGCTTTTATTCCCTTTATAAACAGTTGTAATGTGTGTTTGAAAACCTAATTTAACTATTTGTCACTATCAAATATGATAACTTCATGAAATATGAAAGTAGAATGAACAAAGGAGAATAGCGGTCACCTGCCACAGTTTAGCTCACATGCTTTCAAGTCACAAAGGTACACGTGTACACAGTAGGGCACCGTTCGGGAAAGGACGTATAGGACAAAAAAGAAAACAACTATAAGCAATATATGAAATGGCATTCATTGCATCATTTAATTCTCAATAAAGCACTTAATTACGTTTGGATAAAAAATAAGTTAACGCACGGTCTGACCCTTGTATATTTTATATCCAAGCAAAATATTTTAGACCAAACGGCAAAACATCTTTGCAAATATGGTCTTAGATGAAGGAGTAACAAGAAATTGTTAAAAGGTCGTTTCTTCTATTACCATGACCATGTCCTAAACCAGAATACAAACAAAATGTTATCGCTAAATATATCGCTTTTAAAAATATATATTAATGGAAGGAAACCCTGGAGTGTTATAAAAAGATTTTATTTTCATATCATGCATACAACCCCGCTGTTTATATGAACAGTCATTTCATGAATTGATATGATTACTTATCTTAGATGATATTTATTTGCAAATATTTGGCCACCTATTTATTATAATTGTTGCTGTTATTGTTTGTGTCGTTGTTCTTGTTGTTGTTGTTGTTGTTGTTGTTGTTGTTGTGTTGTTGTGGTTATTGGTAATTATTATTTTCGTATTAACTTTTATTATGTATATGTATTCGATATATGCACAATGTCACTATAATAAACAATATACTTACTTACAATTATTATCACTATTTTTACTACCATTATCTTATCATTTCATTAAATGAAAGCCAAATTAAACGGCTATTTCACTATTTTAATATAAATCAGGATCGAAATCTTTGTATAGATGTTATCGGCTAAATGATTTGACAAGACAAACATAATTAGATATACTAGTGTTATTATAGCTATTTGTTACATTTTTTCGTAAAAATTATAATTGATTTTCGAACTTATATTGCTTGTATCATAGTTTGGGGACCTTTCTGTTGAAAATGTGTCAGAGTTAAATCCTGTACATATACATGCACAGTGCGTTAACTGGAGTGCATGTATTAGTTACCCACACTCCAGAGCATGCCCATTGATTGGGCTCATTTGTGATGGGGTTAACTTATTGTGACGGCAGAAAAAGGGAACGCGATAAAAAAAATATCATATTCAGATGTTCGTTCATCTGTTACATTTTTCTGGGGTTTCATCTTGTGACAACAGGGAACGTATTTTTATGTTTACCTATGATACAAAAGAAAAAGAAAATTAAAACACTCGGCAATCTGATAAATACTCGGGGGCTACGCCTTCTCGTACAAATCTGATAACCTCGTGTTTCGTTGCTCTTTCGGGGGCAGGGGACCTAAAAATGAAAAATTTTGTATTTCAGTGTGACCAGAAACACAATTCCAAATATTTCAAAATCTGTTTCACAGGCAGATAACCAGTTGCACAGCATTATTCAATGATATATGACATACATTGAAGAAAATAATAGTTTGCATGCATTGCTCCTTCAAAAAATGACTGACAGCAATTTATATTTACCCCCACCCAGCCAAAATCACACCTAAAATATACCAATATGGGCAATCTTCATGAAGGTGCAGCATACTCCAGAATCCGCCCGATTCCTTTAAAAATATCAGTAACACGCAGTGCAAGCTATAGCATTTTCAGAAATGACAAATAAAGTGTCTGTCATACGTTTAGATTTTTCACAAAATTTATCTGAAATTTCTTACTTGTTTGGCGCCAACTGTCAAAGCTTGATTTTTAACTTTTTCACCTCCATTCGGAGAGTCAGAAATACATACAAAGCTACCAAAATGCTTAGTTTCGGGTAAAAACCCAAAAATATATCTCATTTCCTACACACAAACAAGAAAGAATTACAATGACAGAGAAATATCAGAAGTTATCAGTAACTTCAAAACACCATGTCTGAGTTATTAAAAAATTTGACCGGGGCCATCATACGAATATGTCCCCTGCCCCCTTAAGATTTTTTATGTGATCCGCATTAAAGCGTTTCCTTTTATTTTCTTAAAATATGGAGTATTTCGCATTAAACGTTAACTTCGAAAAGTGAATACTGCGGTTACTTTGTATTTAATCAAATATTTAAAAAAGACCCTATTTCAGGGGAAGTAACTAGTACAATGACCATGCCTGTTATATGATTTACTTAATATCAAGTGCCAGGAACCTGTGAGATGGTTATTTTTCTGTATTCCACCTTCATTTAAATACCATAAAGTATTTTCAGAGTATTTAAAGTCTTTTGGAAGAAGATTATAGCAAGAAAAAACAATATTACAGCCACATTTAATGTCCCAAAATGAATTTTACAGGAAACCAGACCCCATTTATTCTGGCATACACCTGAAAGTGCAGTAAAGATACCACTGTTGACTTATATGACATTATATACATTTGTAACAATTAAAAGTGCTCAATTATGCATTATTATGTCAATTTGCACAATATAAAACTGTTAAATCTGGATAAATGTGCACATTCTGTGAAGTACAGTGTTTGCCAAAATTCCAAATTTTTATTACCTCCCTTGACTTGACAGTCTACTTACTCTACATAACTTGATAAATCCTACCAGTCACTTCAAATTTTGACTAACAAATGTAGAAGGAATGTTTATGGGCACATTTGGGTCAATTCCAACACATTTTATAAATTTGAAAATTTCCTTAAGGGGGCAGGGGACCTAAAAATGAAAAATTTTGTATTTCAGTGTGACCAGAAACACAATTCCAAATATTTCAAAATCTGTTTCACAGGCAGATAACCA